AACTGTGCAGTGGAAAGAATTTATATTGACTTTGAGTAACATAAGTGAAATGTAAAAAGTCAGGATGCCAGGATAGTCCTATACTACTATAATTGGGACTTGATTGGGTTTTTTTGGTTGTTTTTCAGGAATGATAGAATCAGGATAATAATTATTAAACCTTTGCCTAAGAGCAATAAGAATTACTATGGAAGAATGTCAGATGCATGTTTTAAAGCACGGGTAAATACAACTTAAGAAAAAAGCCAGTGGGAGGTGATAGTCAATTCTGAATTAATGTTTTTGGCTTATGCTTAGTCTTAATGGGAGTACACAAGTAGATGGAAAAAGTCAGTAAGAATTTGATGTCTTTGCTTATTACAAGACTTAGCTATAAGAGCTTGTTAACTTTTGCTTTCTTATAAGCATTAATTTGGTGATGTTGAAGATGGTTGCATGAAAATGAGTTTGCTTATTTGTTTACAAATCAAGTGTCTGATTTTTTTTTTTTAAATCTGGAATTCAGGCAGTAGCCTAAACTGAAAAATGTGAAGGGACTCTGGCTTGCTGCCCATATGATGCACTCTTTTCCTACATGTGATTCTCTCTGTTGTAAGTGTTGGAAGTAACTGATTGCCACTACTTTATTGATTACCCTCTCCTTTTTAGAAGGCCTTTCTAATGAGTTTCCTTGTAACATGACTTCTTTATACTAATAACTAATGATGGAGATGGTCAAAGGTTCTCCAGAAAGATCTTTAGGATGCTTCAGGGTTTTATTAGTGCTTATACTTGCAGGGAAGAGTAGACAATCAGCAGAAAACTGAGAAGGGAGGTGTGCGGATGTCCAAGTTAATAAACTCATTCAGAAAAGTACTTTCGTTTTGTATGGAAGGAGAAAAGTGAAGTGCATCTGCAGCCACCCTGCGCAGATCAGGAGTTTAGCGTGAGAGAGTAATTATTGAAGGCAAATTTTCTTAGTGCATTCTCTAGCTCTATGCTAGTGGGAAAGGTGAGAATTAGCATGAGTTGGTTGATGGCTAGGAAGGGAATGCAGAAAAACTCTACGAATTGTTGCTGTTAAAAGTAGGTTCCAATGAGGGCAGGATTCAGTTCAACAGTTCACTTTACCTTAAATTGAACAATCCAGTTGAATTCAGGCTTTGCTTGTCTTCTTGCATCTTTGCTATCTTTTGCTTTTATTGGGGAACTTTTCATTCCAAACTAAAGACACCAGGAAATTAGTCCAATGTCTTCTCCACGGATGAACTTTGTTAGATGGGAATTCCCCATGTTAGAACGATGTAAGCATTTTGAGAGATGGGCTGTGGCAGCTGTAGATGGCTGTGCCAAATGTAATGTAGGACCAAATAATCAAATACAGTAGTTTTGTTAATTTCAAAACCCTTTCTCTAGCATATTCCTGAATTTTGAATTTCAATGGGCTTTGGAAATAGCAGTATATGTTATAGTTTGTAAATATCTAGATGCCTTGCTGGGCTTGTTCTCACATAAAAAAAACCCAACAGTGACATCAATTAAATGTTCAATATCACTTTGTTAATGTTGGGGGTGAATTACTTTGACAGGCTGCTTTGAGTCATGCTCTGGCAGGCAACTTGAAAAATAGAGCTTTGCTAGCACCTAGGTTTTAGCATAACAATTACTGATAGATGAAAACTGTGTTGAAATATTGACTTGTCATAGAAGCCAGGATGGTGAGGAAAGGGTCTACAGAAAAAGCTGATTTGTAGGTGCCATAGACATTCCCTGGTAGATACTATACTGAATGTGCTTGTTAAAGCTTGCTTGCAAGCATTAGTACTATTACTAATGTTGGGAGCTGACCATACAGCAATAAGATTGCTTATTTTTTGAAAAAAAATGGAAACAATCATACAATTTTTAGAATAAAAGACAAGGAGATATCTATCTACTACTCCTGTCAAGTATCCAAAGCTTTTGAAAGGTCAGATTTCAGCTTTGGTAGTAAAAAAGATAAATAGAAAACATTATACTAAGCATTTGCCTAAGGCACAATATTGATGGGGGTAGTGGTTCTGAAGTTTGCTCAGTTTTGCTAGTATAGTTGATTTAGGTCACTCTTAAAACCTGAAGTATTTTGAGGGTAAGCTGTTCAGTTGATGACTGTGCATTTCATGGTTTACCTTGCATTCAAGGCATCTGTGGGAAGTGAGGAAAGTAAGGATTGGAGATGGTGGCAGCAAATACACTTGCAAAGTAGATTTCCAGATGAACCCATAGCTTAATTCAGTTTTACCTTTGGGCCTAAACCAGCAAATTGCAGCTGCGCTTTAACTGTAAGTGATTTGAGTAGCAGGAACACAGCCGATGTGTATAAGTAAGACTTTAAAATAGTTGGTCCAAAATTGTTTGTTATTTCTTGTGTATGAAAAACTGAAAACTTTGCTGTAAGGATGGGGGTGTGTAGAAGAACTAAAGCTGTTGCTGAAGGATTAGCCCTGCAGCTTTTTTCCTGTAGCTTAAACAAACAAACACCCTGCTGCATCATCAAAAACTAGCAAATGACGGAAGCAGTTAGTGTACAGTGCTGAGTAATAGTTGAATTACATATATCAGGTTATAATGACGGAAAAGCCTTTTAAGCAATGATGAGGATTTAATTCCATTGTGTTGGCTAATAGTATAATGCTGTAACAATTGACTATGAAAAGATTCCAGCAAGTAGGAATTAACTTCCTCAACTAATGCTAAGAAATCTGATACTTGGAAAGCAATAACCTGAAAAAATGTATAGAGTTTTGGTCTAGGTAGACCTACACTTCAGATAATTACAAAACTGAATAAAATCTTAGGTGGTTGATCATGACTGCTTAAAGTATCTTAAGCAATACATACATTATGTAATACTTGCTAAAGTGTTGAAAATTGATCATAATTTAGGAGTAAATTGAGAATCCTAAAATGGGTAAAACCACAGCATTTTGGCCACACTTTCAGCTGGAAATAAATATTCAATAAACCTCCTGACATGACTCTTATACTACAGAAACTAAAAAACCAAACTCGACCATTAATATCTGGCTAAGTAGAAACTGTATGAGAGGAAAAAGACTGAAGAACTGTATTATTTCCTTATTCACTTTATCTAACAAATGTAAAACTATTATAGATGCTTCATACTTAAAGCTTCAGGAATTTGTGGAAAGTGATTAGTGTATTTCTTGGTTAGTATATCTTAAAATATTGTGAATGGAGATTGCAAGTAAGACATAGTGCACTACTGAGTAATGGTGGTGGTGTTGGAATCTGTGGGACGTTTGTAATCTGAGCGAATAAAAAGAAGGCTAAATTATGTGGGATCTTTGTATTCATTTTTCTGACTTAAACACGTGGATCACTTATTTGTGACTATAACTGAAATAAAATTTTACTTTCTTGCCATGTACTACAGAACTAGTTTTTAAAGTACAATGTGTATGCTTTTTAAATTGAGCTGAAATTTTTGTGGGAGTCATGGTAAGAAGTAGAGGGAGAAGGGAATAAAAGAAGGGACCTAGATAACAGATTTTGTAAGAATCAGAATGTGATTTCTGCTTGAGGTTATACTCTGCCTCTCTAACACTTTGCAGTTAGTACTCTGCTTCTGATCCTGTCTGTTCCACTTTAAATCATCTGATGCATGTACAGGAGTCAGGACTAAAACTAGAAAAATGGAAGTAGTGATAAAGTTCTCTTCATCTAGGAAAGACAAAGTACTGGTGGTGGAAGTGGAAAAACTTTCAAAACATAAAATGAATTAGCTTCATCTGCATTGTGTAACTGAACCAATTAGTGGTGAATATTAATGAAACATCCATATTACAGTTAGTATAGCCTGGCTATTCCATAGCAAGCCACAGTGGTGCTGACTCTGTGTACCTGCTTGAATTTATTGTTCATTAAATTGGAAGTACTAGGCTAGTTAGGGCTTCAGAAATTTGAGATGGTGCAAATATCAGTAGCTGTTCTAGTGAGAAAGAGGCTGTAATTACTTGAATGAAACTTGACCGACATATGAACAAAAAGGACCTGTGGAGAGCTTATTGCCAAGAATGGATTTGTACTTAAGCAGATATAATTACGTGGACTTTGTACTGGATTGTTTGACAGATTAAATTTCTATGGTAGTACGAGATAACAGTAGGTCACAGTCCAAGAGTAAGGTTCCTAAGATTATATCTTCACAGCTGTAGTGATAATCTGATTAATTGAAAACCAGTTCAATGAATAACAAATTCATGTTGTTAGACGCAAAAGTGTCAGTGCCAATTTTCAATGACAGTTATGTGTAAAGTCAGTGTGAGGTCAGTGCATTTGCAATGCTGCTTTTTTGCAGTAGTGCTGGTAAAATTTGAACAGGGTCTGCACTTTAACATGGTTGGCTGCTTCTTAAATCGGCCTCTTTTAGAAGTGAGTCTGAAGTAGTGACAACTAACATGCAATGTTATGCTAAATAAAGGTAGGGATTTTTTACCCTGCTTATCTGCCTAAGAACAAAATTGATATCTGGCAGTCTTTCACCTGCAGGTATCAAGTGCAATATAAATCTGTTGTGTTAGGTAAACAGGAGATGCTACATGGGGGACTTGATCAGTGGCACTGGATATTGAGCGTGTGGATTCCAGTAGCAGCTGGTGTTCTGTCTTCAGAAGCACCTGAACAGCCACGACCTGAAAGCGCTGTGCTGCTAGCCTCCTAGGTCAGTTCATCGGAGAGCCAAACGTGGGCACGCGGCGAGGCTGCAGGGCAGTTGCAGGCTGCTCCTGCACAGCCAGGGCTGTGCGTGGAAACTGGTGACTGGGAATTCTTCCTCTTGTATGCAAGAAGGAAGAATTACTGCCTGGTATAATGTAAAAGGAGCTGATATCTTTGGATTGCTGAAGTTGTGACTTTGAAGAGCTCTAAACTTCTCTGACAAGTTAATTTAAAGTTTTGACGATGTTTTTGGACCAGCATATGTGCATATAGGTAGTGCACAAGCTGATTTCTTTACCTTGCTTTTCCTGGGAAGGATGTTATTCATTGCAAAGGTGCTTGAAGATGACATGTCAAATACAGGTATGATATTTTCTACCTTGCAGAATAGTTTCGTGTTCTGAAAATAATGTCTTTGAGCACGTTTCCTATTAAAAATCAGTTATAAGATGCCTCTTTCTAAAGTAATGAGCTAATGAAGGATTGCTTGGAACACAGTAAATTCATCTTTTCAGAATTTTTTAGAGTACCTTGCAGCTATATCTGAATAAATTCCAGTAACCTCTGTTGGTATTCAGCTGGTGCCACTGTAAAATGGAGATGTGTTTGGCAGAAAGAGATTGAATAGAAGAAAACCCATTAAGTGTATTGTGGGGTAGATACAGTAATTGAAGAAGTTGGAGTGATTCATATGCATTCTTGGAAATTTTTAAGAGACTCTTTATGCAGTGTATGTAATCTGGAATTTGCATTTAAGTTTTCACTTGTGGAAGTGATAACCTCAGTACGTGGCTGATGTGTAGTCTGGAGTTGGAGACTTTCAGAAAAGCTTCGGTGGGACACTACCATTGCTTACAGTTGTGCAGACAGCAGTAAGTTTCTTACTGTGAAGTCTTTTGAAAGCCTGGATAAACAAACACTCTGCTAATAGCTAGGAAGGGTGTCTGGACTGAAAACTCTAGAGGAACAGACTAATTTTCGGTTAAAAACATCTGAAGAAAGGTAATGATTTGTGGAAGTGGAATGTTTGGAAACAGTTAATTAATTCATGTGTCCTCTTTGCTTGTCTGAATAAGGCTTTTAGAAAGGACTGCAGACATCTGCAGTGCTTTTTAATATTTGATGGGCTTGTACAATTCTCCCTACAGAAAATTCATGACCTGCTCTATTTGAGTCTCATTTAGAGAGGGTATGAGTGAAAGAGATGATGGATTCCTTATCTTCTTATTATATTAGAGCTTTTGAGAGACTACATTTTCTGTAACTGTTTTACTTAAAGTGTTTTCTTCTCATGTCTTTTACCTCTGTACCTTTTTCAGTAGATCTGAAACTGAATCATGTTCTCACAGGATGCTTGTTTTGCTTATGCTTGGAATAAATGCATTGATAAGTAGAGATTCACTGCCAGATGCTGCTAGGATTCTTATTGCCAAAGAAGTTATTTTTAATGCTTTAGCAAAAACCTCTGAGTACCACCTCAGCATGACTTGTATATATAAAAAGATTGTCAATGCAAGTAGGTGCAAGCAGAATTGAATACTGAGTCTGTAATAAGTTTCAAAACTTGATGCTTTTAGTTTGAGAAAATCATGAAAACTTGAACTTGTTTTCAGTCTATGGCTCCTTTAAAGCTTCTTGGTTGACATGCTTACCTTTTGCTTTCCTTACTCTCCAGCAAAGGGAAGTTTATTGACAATTGATTTCTCCTCCTGACATTGTGAAAACTACTTGGAAAATAGGCTTATGTGATAGTAGAGAGCTATAGAAGCCTACTGAATAAATTTTTTTGGATAAAGTTTGGTAAAAGGAGAAAATACACTATCTGCTGAAGTGTTTCCAGAGAGCTGTTTTACTCAAAAAGAGAGCTCAGAACACCACAAAATTTACATTGTGAAATCCCAACTTCTCAAAGTTGTTTGGTTTGGGGTGGTTTTTTTTGTTTTTGTTTTTTTTTTCTACCCTACTTAGGGATATCTTGTGTATACTGTAGCCACAAGATGCAGTAGAGTTTTGGTTGCAGGGAATGTGGATTTTTGGCACTTTATATGGTATATACTCGCTATGTATATGATGCTGTATTTTCCAACTTTTAACTACCCAAAATCTTGTTAGTCTTAATTCTGTAGCTGGTGATGGCAGTTCTCCATAGTCAGTTATGGAGAGTAGTGAAAACAGGTTGTTTCTCCTCAGGCCAAGCTTTGGTAATGTCAGCTGAGTGCCTGGTAAAGATCCTTTGGGGAGGAGTGTGTGTGTATGTGAGGGTCTGGTAAAGATCCTTTGGGGAAGAGAGTTTTAGAAATCTTTTATATGGAAAATATCAGCAGTTCTAAATATAGTGGCAATAGTTAAGACTTACTAATGTCTGAAGATTTTTCTGAATGTCTGAATGCTTGCTTAAATTAGTGAATAATAATGAAGATGGGATGTGATAGAAAGTTTGTCATTAATGATGAATAAACTCCATCCGTATGCCTAAAAAACAAGGAGCTCTTTGTCTTTCAGAATCTTAACTGGTTTTTGTTTGTTTTTGTTTTTTTTTTTTCCTTTAAGCAGTATCCATGCTAAGAAATTCCATTCTCTGGGAGTTCTTGTGAGTTGTAACACGCATGTTGTTATCCGAGCAGCAACTGGTAGATGTAAATGCTAGGGTAGTGATCATGAGCAGTGCTTGTTGTCTGCTGAGAGGTCTGGTAATACACAAAATTTTATGCTTTTGCTTCAAGTAGTCTTTTTGTGAAGAAAAAAATATGGAAACATCTTTTAAAAACCAACAACAGCAAAAAAACCCCTGAATAAATCCAACCCCCAAACTGTTGTGTTTTTCTGCTATTGACAGTAATCACTAATTAACTTCTGCACAATATTAACTCAGATGTGCTTGGTATACCAGTCAAAACATGTTAGTTGTATATGATTAATTACAGGAGAAAAAAAAGTAGAACTAAACCCATTGACAGTCTTAAGCTGTTAACAGTTCTTTGCTGGGCTCTTGGTAAGTATAAACACATGCTGATAGTACTTACTGTGTTTGGTAGTGCAGCTAGATAATGCGATCCAGTATCAGCTTTTATAAAAGTCTCTGAGATACGGGGCTATAAGACTTTTTTGATGTTCATCAACTTCTTGTCAATATAGCTCTAGGAAGCACTGGTGCCTGCTTGTCTCTTGTAGCCAAGAGATCTTTTTGGTGAGTAAATTCAACAGCATGGTTTAGGTGATGGATATCAACTTATTTTAAGGAGTTTTTTAACTTTCAGAAGTTTAGGTGCTAGGAACTGAAATATCAATTTCATAGGGCAGGGTGTTTTCATTTGCTTTCTGTAGGCGATGGATGCATGCTAGGAAAGAGTTTAACGGAAGCACCCCTTAACATTTGGTCTCAGTCATAAGTAGTAGTTAGAAATGAACTGAGGTTTTTATCAGCTCTTCAGTATCAAAGTAATATTGTCAAGCTGCTAAAAGCATCCTGACTCTGGGAATGGGAAAGACACATTTTGATAAAATTCTGAATGTTCAGGCTATTCAGAATAATTGGAGCATTTCATTTTTGCAGGGACTTCAGTGATTAATTGAAATTACTTGTGTGCTGGGAACTGTGCAGTAAACTAGAGAAGGAGCTCTTTAATGAGAGAACATTCCAGTTTGTAGAAGCATTTTTAGTAAGCAAGCTTTTTTTTTTTTTAATTCCCATTGCTTGTGTGAATATAGATGAAACTTAGCATTTACTGGTGGAGCAGGATTGTTTCTGCTGTGATTAGCAATACTCATTCCTATTATAAGGAGATTGGCAAGTGAATGGTCATGCTGAATTTTTTTCTTTGACTAGACAATATTTGTGAGTAGTGTCTATTGGAGAACAGAGGAACAAGATAAATATTGTGCTGCAGGCAGATCATTGCTGATTAGTAGGTTGTACCTCTTCAGAAGAGAAGACATAGATGTTTGTGATCTCTGGAGGTGAACTACAGACTCCTGTTGTGAATTGTCACTTATATGGGGAAAAACTATGTTTGTTTGAGAATCTTTGCCTAAACAGTATTTACCACTGCCACTATCAGAATCTGTGCTAATCATGTAGTGAACAAAGTGAACACAAGGGCTTATGCATCTATTTTCAACTGAGTTTTGTGGAGACTTACTCCTGTATCCTCGAGTATGACCTTCTATAAATAGGGATATAGCAAATTAATTAGCATTAATCATTGATATGTTAGTACATGCAGAATTGGCTTGTACATGAGGAACTAGGATACAATTATTTCTGGTGACATATGAAAGCAGAAGCATATTCAGGTGAAAGTCTCCTGTGGTATCAGTGTGGTGAAACTCCGAAGATAACTGGCAGGTGAGGTTAAAAAAATCTTCTTCCAGGAACATGGTGTTGAAGAATGCAATTTGCTAATGGGTACCCAGGAGGTAGGAATCCCGTAACCCTTGTCCTGGTTTAGATAGGATGGGGTTAAGTTTCCCCAGCAGAGAGGGGGAAGGGATCTCCAGCCCGGTTATTCATACCATGCTGATGTCAGGTCCAGAGCCGCAGCGTGGGAAGCTTCCCTTTGTGGCTTTTGACGCGGGAAGCACACGTGGCAGGCTGACTGTGTTCACTGTGGTATTTCCCTGTATATCTTTTGTCTTGTTTACTGTTATTAGTTTATTGTTGTTATTATTGCTATTGTTGTTCAGATTGTTTATTACACAGTTGTATTAAATTTCTCCTTATTTTAACCTGGGGTCTGAGCCCTACTCGATCCGAGGGTGGGGGAAGGACAGCGGCAATGTGGTCTCCGGTCCCAGCAGGGTCTAAACTATCACAATCTTTTATATTTGGCTCTAGGCCTTGAAGGTCTCAGTTTTGGTGTGTCATCCGAGCTTCACGGAAAATACTCTTAAACATAGTTAGTTTTCTCTAATCAGAAGAGTGGGTATACTATAGAGTAGGCAAAGAGATTTATAATAAGGTATGTGTTACGTATAACAGAAGAAAAGTCCAAGTTCTGATCATGAACTCCCAACGTGTTAAGAGTGTACTTCTTAGGGGAAAAAAGTATGCGTTATTAGGGACAATCTATATTAAAGAATATGTAAGTCAATGATTAAAATACTATAAAATAGCACTTAGGTTCCCCTGAGAATTTTTAATAGCGAAGTCAGGATTTAGTCAGAAACTTAAAGGAATAGTGCTTGAACAGGCAGTCCCTCCCTGCTGACCTTTTCAAGCTCTAGTTTGTAATGTGTCTGTTGACCCAGCTGGGAGCTTACAGAACCAGGGAGGATCGTATTGTGGCAGCTGACCTAAACTGTTGATGCTGAGTTTTGTGATAAACTAATTTTAATGATGAAATTAACCAGATAAATTTATTTCT